GAGGTGGGACCCGGTGTCTGAGAGCAGGGGCGCTGCGGGGCGGGGTGGGACCCAGTGTCTGAGGGCAGGGGCTCTGGAGTCAGCGTGGGACCCGGTGTCTGAGGGCAGGGGCGCTGCGGTCCGGGTCAGAGGCTGGGTGGCGGCATGTCTGCTGCTTGTGGCCTCCAGGTGAAGATGTGGGTGGGCAGCTGGAAAGCCGCGTGGGTCTCCCAGGAGTTACCCGCACGCACGCACGGCTGTGGCTGCCTAGGCAGGGGTCCTGCCAGGGGTGAGGTGAGAAGGGGTGGGGGCTGGGCCCCTGGAGAGCCAAGACTGGGACGCTGTGGGGCAGAGCAGCTCAGGGAGGGCGAGGGAGGACAGTGAATGGACGTGACCCAGGCGGCCAATCGAGTGAGGGGCAGCGGGGAAGAGAGAGAGACCCTTAAGCAGGCTTACATGCAGGTAGTCCTGGTCTGAGCCCACCTGACGTTGTAACTTTGGCTTCCCGCTGCTGCGTGCCGGTGGTCCGCCGTGGTCCGTCGGTTCGCGTAGTAGGGGTGGTATATGTGCTAGAAAGATTCGAGGCGCTCAGACGTGAGGTGCGTCGGAATAAGCTGGAGGTTTGCGCGACGACCCGCCCCGGGAGTCTGCCTCAGCAGGGCCGGGGCCGGGCCCGAGAATTTGCACTTCGGAGGAGTTCCCAGGGGCTGCGGGGGCTGCTGTCGGCCGGTCCGGGGGACCACACTGGGAGACTCACGGGCCTAAGGTGAGTTTTCCCGCGATTGGTGCCTACAGGGGCCAGAGCTCACACTCAGGGTCTCTGGTCATTTTCCCTAAAACACGATCTACAAGTCCCTGTTCTGGGGTTTCTTACACGCTCGGGGCGTCTGGACACTGGACTTCCTGGGACAAGGTATAGAGGAACGTTCTGCGCTCTAAGCGGATTCTGCCAAGAGAGCACGGCTTGCTTCAGGCCTGACTGACCGTCCAGTGACTGTGACCTGCTTTCTTGGCTTTAAAGAACTGTTTTAGGGGCCGTGTTTCAGGGACCAGATGTTACTAATCACGGATGCTCTTTCCGGGAACTCGAGGCCTCGAGCGTTTCAGTGATGTTAAAAGGCTAAAACCTCCCGATGTTTCCTGCCCGCTCTCATTCTCTCCCTGCGGCCATTGCTAAAACCGAGTCGGCGGGGATTCTGTCCCAGCAGGTATGGTCGTATGGGGACACTTAGGGGACAGGAGACCTCCCTTGAGGAGTGCAGAACAGAGGCCGCCCCCCGGGGCTCAGCGGACCTAGCCAGGCATCTACAAGGAAGACCCGAGAGAGGCACCTGGTCTGTGCACCCCGACTCTGACAGGTTCTGTGGGGACCCCGTGTTCTGCCCGCCGCGACCCTGTAGCTCGGAGCAGCCTCTGCAGGGCCCTCTCCGCTGTGGCCAGAGCGGCAGGTGGAAGGGTCGCGCTGGCGGGACACGGGGCTGTCAGGCTCCCAGGGCGCTCCCAGAACTCGTTAACGCACATTTCCTTGTGTTTCTCCCGCCTCTTCGTCCCTCCTCCCCTTCCGCTCGGTGAGCAGCTGCTGTCCCTGTGCCAGATGGGCCCCCGACCACATCCCTGGCACCCATCAGCCAGGAAGCCCTGGGTTAAACTTGCTCGGGCCACGGAGACACCTTTTCACCTGAATGGGTGCTCCCGGGAAGAGAAAATACAGGGCTCTGTTTGGGAAACATAAACGCCCTGGTTATTGACCCTTGGCCCCTTAAAGGCAAGTTGGAAGTCCCGTTTCTGTGCCTTGTTTCCCCGTCGTGGGCTTCCTCTGCCACAGCGAAGTTCGTAATTCTCTTCTCAGCTCAAGCACACGTGGGATTGGTGAATCTGAGTTTTCACGTGGACTTTGCACTCTCTGCGGTTCATTCTTCAAGGTGCTGGGGATAGAAACGGGGCAGAGGCCACGTAACAGGAGCATTCGGGAGGTGCCAGCCTGCGTACTTTCCCAAAAAGGAGCCTAGCCAGCACAGAGGGGCCCACCCAAGAGGTGGGGTGCGGGAAGGATGTGCCAGGTTGGCTTAATGGCGGAGTGGGAGCGGAGAGGAATTTGTATGTCTCATGCATGCTGGGTGTAGGGTGCTCTCTGCTCCCCCAAAACTGTGTGAGGTGTGCATTTTTAAAAATTTATTTCAGGGGAGCCTGGGTGGCTCAGTCATTTGAGCATCCGACTAGTGATTTCGGCTCAGCTTATGATCTCAAGGTGTGTGGTTCAAGCCCCGAGTCGGGCTCTGTGCTGGCAGTGCAGAGCCTGCTTGGGCTTCTCTCTTTCCCTGCCTCTTCCTCCCCTCAAAATAAATAAATAAACATTTATTTTTTAAAGATGTTTTCCTTGAACTCTGATGGAAGCATTGAAAAAAATTTTTTTCTAACTTTCACTCCGGTGTAGTTAACATACATGTTATATTAGTTTCACCCGTACGGTCTAGTGATTCAGCAGTTCTGTCCATTCACAGGCTCCTCATGCTAAAAGTGTGCTCTTAAATCCCTGTCCCCTGTTTCCCACCCCTACCTCCCCCCTCTGGTGGCCGTCAGTTTGCTGTCTGTAGTTAGGAGTCTGTGTTTTGGTTTGTCTATTTTTTTCTTTGTTCATTTTGTTTCTTAAATTCCACGTACAAGTGAAATCATATGGTATTTGTTTTTCTCTGACTTTTTCTACTTAGTAGTATTATATATAGTCTCTAGATCCATTTGTTTCATCACACATAGCAAGATTCCATTCTTCTTATGGTTAATATTCCATTGTGTGTGTGTGAATATATATACGTGTATACATACATATAAATGTTCACATATACACATGTATATACCACATCTTTATCTGTTCATCACTCAGTGGACACTTGGGTTGCTTCCGTGTGTTGGTTATTATAGATAATACTGCAGTTAACCTCGGGATGTGTATCCCTTCGAATTAGTATTTTGTATCCTTTGGGTAAATACCCAGTAGTGGAATTACTGGATCATAGGGTAGTTCTATTTTTAATTTTTTGAGGCACTTCCATGCTGTTTTCCACAGTGGCCGCACCAGTTTGCGTTCCCACCAACAGTGCACAAGGGTTCCTTTTTTCCCCAAATCCTCACCAACACCTGTTGTTTCTTGTGTTTTTTATTTTCGCCGGCCTTGCAGGTGTGAGGTGATACTGCACTGTGGTTTTGATTTGCATTTCCCTGTTGATGAGTGATGGTGAGCATCTTTTCATATGTCTTTTGGTGGTCTCTGGATGTCTTCTTTGGAGAAATGTCTGTTCACATAGTTTGCCCATTTTTTAATTGGACTATTGTTTAAAAAAATTTTTTAACATTTATTTATTTTTGAGAGACACAGAAACAGTGTGAGAGGGGGAAAAACAGAGAGAGAGGGAGACACAGAATCTGAGGCAGGCTCCAGGCTCTGAGCTGTCAGCACAGAGCCCGACGCGGGGCTAGAACCCACGAACTGTGAGGTCATGACCTGAGCTGAAGTTGGACACTTAACTGACTGAGCCCCACAGGCATCCCAATCGGATTACTTGGTTTTTTGAGTGTTGGGTTATATCAGTTCTTTATACATTTTGGATACTAACCCTTTATTGGATATCTTTTCCCATTCTGCAGGTTGCCTTTTAGTTTTGTTGTCTGTTTCCTTTGCTGTGCAGAAGCTTTTTGTTTTGATGTAGTCCCAGGAGTTTATTTTTGCTTTTGTTTCCCTTGCCTCAGGAGACACATCTAGAAAAGTGTTGCTATGGCCAATGTCAGAGACATTATGGCCTGTGCTCGTTTCTAGATTTTTATGGTTTCGGCTCTCATATTTATGTTTTTCATCCATTTTGAGTTTATTTTTGTGTGTGGTGTAAGAAGGTGGTCCAGTTTCATTCTTTTGCATGTTGCTGTCCAATTTCCCAGCACCATTTGTTGAAGAGGCTGACTTTTTCCCCCTGGATGTTCTCTCCTGCTTTGTTGAAGACTAGTTGACCCTGTGATGGTGGGTTTGTTTTTGGGCTTTCTCTTCCATTCCGTTGATCTGTGGTGTCTACTTTTGTACAGTCCTGATCACCACCACTCCGTCATATGTCTTGAAATCTGGGATTGTGGTACCTCCAGTGTTTAGTTTTCCTTTTTCAAGCTTGCCCTGGCCATTTGGGACGGTTTTATGGTTCCCTACACGTTTTAGGATTGTTTGTTCTAGTTCTGTGAAAAATGCTGGTGGTATTTTGATAGGAATGATTGAATGTGTAGACGGCTTCGGGCTGTGTAGATGTTTTAACAGGGCTTGTTCTTGCAGCGTGTGAGCGTGGAATGTCCCATTTGTGATTTCTTCAATCTCTTTCATCATCGTGGTTCGTAGTTTTCAGAGTGCAGGTCTTTCAGTGAGGGGCAGTTTTGTCTTCCATTTTATAGACCAGAGGATCCGGGTCCTAGAATCAACGTGTCCAGATCATCCCTCAAATAAGTGGGAGGCCTCACGCCCGCTGTCTGACCTCACACGCTCCACAGAAAACAGAAGTGACCGGTCTCTGGGGGCTGGGGCACTGTCGTCCTGCCTTCTCTGTGTTGCCGGTGGCTGGGCCTGGCTGCCAGACACCTGTTAGCAGCCGAAGGAAGACGGAGCTTGTACTAGACGTGATTGCCTTTGAGGAATTCACAGTCCAGTGAGGGAGGAAAGAGAAATGGAGGTGACAGTGGGAAACTGGCTCTTAAAAATGGTGATCCTTTTAGTGGCTAATATAAAAAGATGAAAAAGTCCGAATTCAGAAAGACTTCCTAGTCTAGAGACCATTTCAATCGATTGCTTTTATTAAAACATATTATTATAGATAGGGAAACCTCTCTAAGCCCCCAGCCTATCACAGTAGAGGGGACCCCGCTGCTTGGTGTCTTTAAAGCCCAACGTAAGGTCCCCGCACAAGTTCAAGGAACCTTTGACAGGAATGGTCTCTGAACGTTGCTTTGGAATGAAGCTCATCATTAACAACCGGCCCTTGTTTCCGCAACAGGTGTCAGACATGGCAGAGGATGGCAGTGAGGAGATCATGTTCATCTGTAAGTAGCCCATGGGGGGCACCACACTAGCTGTCTGGGCAAAGCCACATCCACGTTTTGTTAACATGCTGTGGAAAAGCTGCTGCCGTTTGGGTGGAAGTGACTTTGCTCGCTCTACGGGACACAGTTTATTGCGTGAGAAATCCGCAGGGGCGTGTGGCTTTGAAAGGGTCACCTTTCTCGGAACTTTGGGCCAAGGGCCCTTTGCAGGAGGTGGCTCTCGATTCGGAAAAGACGTTCACGGCACGTAAGATGTCTAGTAAGCGGGTTAAATTGGTGAATTTTCATTGACTCGTTCCTTGGTAGATCTTGTCACTTGTCGCCAGAGAGGTGGCTGCGTACTTTGAAGTGTGCCACAGAGCGAGGTCTTTTCCTTGGGGGCCACCTGTGTTTGCACCGTGTTCACATTGAGGGAGAGCCCTGTCGGTCCCCCTGGGGCGGGGGGCCTGCGGTGTCCCCTGACGCTCGGTGTCTGTTGCAGGGTGTGAGGACTGTAGCCAGTACCACGACTCCGAATGTCCTGAGCTGGGCCCCGTGGTCATGGTCAAAGACTCCTTTGTGTTAAGCAGGGCAAGGTGAGTGCCACCTCGAGCTGCTGTCACAGCCCTTCCTGTCAAACAGCGTTGCGTGAATGCCAGCTCAGCGTCTGCAGGAAGGGGAGGTCCTGGAGGGTCCCGGACCCAGGTCCTGCGTGGGGGACCCCGCACACGACCAAGCAGTTCTCGGACCCCAGTGGGGTTCAGCTCTGACACAGGCCGGGCGGAGACAGCAGGGGACCCCCCAGGCTCAGGGCACAGCCCCACAGGGCCGCCCCACCCCCACTCCAGACGCCAGCCGCGAACCCCGGGCTGTCCTGTGTCCTTGTGACGATGCTGCAGACAGCAGGCCCCTACGGCCTCCTCCTCAGAGTCTTCCTTCTACATGGCCAGCACGGCGCACAGAACCCTGGGAAACCCTCACTGTTTCCGGTTTATTCAAGGACATGATAAGGGGTGTGAGTGAACAGCCGGATGCCGAGATGTGCAGGGGGAGGGCCCCGGCGTGGAGCTTCCCTGCTTCCCCCCTACCCGCCCCGGCACTACTCACCCCGCACCCCACCTGTTCACCGGCCTGGGCACGTCTCGAGGGCTCCAGATTGAAGGTCTTGGTCTAGTTCAGCGCTCCCAGGGGCCGAGCCGCCCGAGACACAGCAAGGCAGCTGAGGAAGCGATGGGCTGTGGCTGCAGGCTTCCCCGTGGCCCAGATCTCAGCCTGCCGTCTGACGGTGCCCGCCGTGGGCAGGCTGGGCTGCGGAGGGTGCGGGTGATGAGGCAGAGCCGTCAGCGCTCCTAGAAGAGCTGTGGCAGACCCAGAGGGCATAGTGGCTCTGCCATCCCACAACTGTGTGGGGGCCGTGTCGCCCGGCGGGCCAGAGCATGGGCTCCAAGGGACAGCCCGCCCCCCCGCCCGGGCCTGCAGCCGGTTGAGCTGGGACAAGGCCCTCTCTTCTCTGTCCCTCAGCGGCCTTGTCTGCAACATGGACAGAGTAATATACCCCCTGCTGGCGTGTGGTCAGGATTCTGTTACTATCTCGGTGTTGTTTCTAGAAGCTTCCCAGCTGGTTTTCCTAGCCTCCGTATTTACTTTTTCTCACTGTGACTTAACTTCTCTGCAGTGCTGCCTGACGTGGAGATCTGGTGGGCTCTCCCCAAAAACTTGCACAGGTCGCCTGTTGCTCATGAAAGTCTAGTAGCAGCTTCCTGCCCCACAGTGGGAGCCCTCCATGAGGGGTCGCTGCTCTGTGGCCCGGCCTCCTGCCCATTCCCGTGAGGGGGCTGCCGTCCCGGCACCCTGGCGTCTGAGCCGCTCCTGGACGTGGGTCGGCCTTGCCCAAGCCTTGGCCCGTGCTGGGGCCCCAGCCCACAGGCCTTCCTCTTCCCGCGCCCCATTCTTAACATTCTCAGTTTAGTGAAAACATTCTCGGTGAAACTGGCCCATTCAACCTAAGGGAAACCCTTTTCTGGTCCGTGGAATGCGTGGCACTTTCCCTTCCTCGTGGTGTCAGCACAGAGCTCCCCCCACCCTGGGCTGTGTGGCTCTGCGGGGGGCGGGGGGAGGAGTGGGGGGCGGGGAGAGCTGGTGCCCTTTGTCTCCGTTGGCCCATCGCAGCCCACACGCGTGACGTGGTCATGGTGGCTTGTCTCTGGGTGGGGATTTCCAACACATCCCTTAGTGAATGCCACCCACCCCCCCATCCACGTGTGCTGTGGGCTGGTCTTGTTCGGGCCCTGGGGGACTCTCCAGTGGCTTCGGGCTCTTAAAGAGCTGGGTGGCCTTCGCTGCCTCTGTCCATGGTAGCAAGCTCCTTACCCACCTTGCGGACGGTGTCTCAGCGTGGGCGAGTGTTAGGCCATCTTAATCACCTGTCCCCAGTGCGAGTGGCTGTCCTCAGTCAGCAGTGCTCGGGGACCGAGGGCCTCCTGTTCCGTTTCCAGATCATCCCTTCCCTCCAACCTGGAGATCCGGCGGCTAGAAGACGGGGCCGAGGGAGTGTTTGCCGTAACTCAGCTCGTCAAGCGAACGCAGTTTGGTCCATTTGAGTCGAGGAGAGTTGCCAAATGGGAGAAGGAGTCTGCTTTTCCGCTGAAGGTACTGGGGTGATGGCGCAGGAAGGAGTGGCACCCGCCAGCCCGCGAGGTCCGTGACCCTAAGCATCCTCACAGCCTTAAAGATCGTCGTTGTGCTTACCTCCAACACACTGTTTCGCTTTCTCATTTTAGTTTGATTCCTTTTTAAATGTTTATTTTTGAAAGGTGGGGAGGGGCAGAGACAGGGGGAGAGAATCCCAAGCAGGCTCCGAGCCGTCAGCTCCGAGCTTCAGATCATTCAGCTTTCTTCCCCTGCTCCCATCCGCCAGCCTCCGTGCTGTTCCAGGCGCGCGTGCCGCTTGGTAGGACTGACCGACGTTACCTGACACACTGGTAACAGGGCCGGGTGCCCGTCCGGGGCGTACGCATTCCCTCCCCAGCTGGGCCACGTGCACATTTCAGGTGTCCGGGGGGCACCTGGAGCAGGTAGAGCACTTGGGTGTCCCAGTGATGTCTGGGCCAGGAGTGGACCTCGGGTGACCTGGTGACATGTGGTCGGGACTGGAACTGCAGCATCCCAGTGGCCACCTGGCCCAGGAATGGGACTCACGTCATTATGACCACTTGCAGACAGAGTAGAACTGGGTGTCCGGCTGCATGCCCGCGCCATGAATGGGCCCAGCGTGCCCCAGTTCCCGTCTGCTCTGGGCATAGGTCTCGGGTCCCCGGTGGCCCCAGCAGCAGGTTCTGTGCGGGGCCTGATCTGGCCCCCAGCGCAGCACCCTCCCGCCACCACACACGCACACGCTGACCTGCAGACGGGCGGATAACAGTTCCTTTCCTGGCCCCTCGGTGGCCGTGCCCCCCCCCAGGTGTTCCAGAAGGACGGGCACCCCGTGTGCTTCGACACGTCCAGCGAGGACGACTGTAACTGGATGATGCTGGTGCGGCCGGCCGCGGGGCCCGAGCACCAGAACCTGACCGCCTACCAGCACGGCGACGACGTCTACTTCACCACCTCCAGGGACATCCCCCCCGGCGCTGAGCTGCGCGTCTGGTACGCGGCCTTTTACGCCAAGAAGATGGACAAGCCCATGCTGAAGCAGGCGTGCGCCGGCGCCCATGGTACGCGCTGCCCACCGGGCCTCGCCGCCGGGCACCAGGCCCCTGGCTGCACGCAGGTGCCCGGTGGTTGCGGAGGAGCCGTGCGGGCGGGGCGTGGGGAGCAGAGGGGGCTGCTCTTGACCCCACGTCGTTGGGGCCCCTGTTCTGCTTGTTCGCTGTCTGGGCCCGCCCGTCGGCCAGGCACCAGCGGGTGGAACGTTCTCCCTGGGAAATCCAGGCACTAGGGACCACAGGCTGGGACTTCTCCCCACCGTGCTGCGAGTGGGGGCGATTGTCTCCGTTTTGGAGCAGTGGAAACGGAGCACAGAGAGGTTAGGGGACCTGCCCTGAGCCACGCTGTGGGGGTGCAGGAGTCAGGCTTCAGACCCGGAATCTGTCAACCTCATGGCAGCCCCCTCCAGATTTGGGGTGTGTGCGTGCAGGCGTGTGTGCTCACATGTGTGTGCCTGTGTGAGTGCGTGCACGCGTGTTCCAAGAGCGACCTCGCGAGGGGTGTGTGTGTGATTTGCCCGAGCCCGGCATCCCCAAGCTTGTGTCCTGCTGCCCCAGGGAATGAGGCGTCGCTTCGTGAAGGGGGCCCCTGGAGCTTCCGTCCATCCTGCCCCGTTGCGAGTCCTCGTGGTGCAGCCGGAGACCACGCGAGGTCGCCGCCGACACACCACGGGTTTGGCCTGTGCAATGAGACTGAGAAGGTGCGGTTGGATGACATGAGCCCGGCCTGCGTCCAGCAGACAGCCGCTGCCTCATTGTGTCCCAGCCGCCCTCACTGGGGACTCTGGGGTGACTGTGCTCCGTCCCCGCGTGTTCCTACTGAGGGCGCGCGACACGACGGTGATCACGCCAGCGTCCGCTGGGAGGCGCGGTCCCCCAACGGGGTGTTTGATTCAGACAAGCAAATCACCCGCCCAGGCTCCCTGCGCCGTGGCAGTGCCTTTGATGGTTTTTCACTCCTCGTTTCGGGGGGAGCGGCAAGCAGGTATTTCAAAGAAACGTCCTGAAAGTTCTTGACCACCGTTAGGGGTTGCTCAGGTGGGGTCCTTATCTCTTACACCTGCTGAGTGACTGCTTTGCTCAGGCGGCACGGGGAGCTCCCCAGAGGACGCATAAAGCCCACCATCATGCGTGGTGCCTGGGGTGAATCAGTGACAGGGCCGCCACTCCCACGTCCCGCCAGCCCCTCCCCTGGGGGTCCGCTCCTGGCACCCTGCTCCAGCCCTGAGTGCCCGGGGCCCCGGGCCGTCCTGGGTGCGAGTTCTGATGCCCCACCCGGCGGAAGCCTTGTTGGGACCCCAGCACTGCCTGATTCTCAGACGCTGGCGTGGGTGCCGAGACCTGTGGAGATGGGCCTGGAATGTACAGGAAGCTGGTCGCCTGCATGGTTCCGATTGCCCAGGTCCGATGGGTGGGGAGAGGGCGTGAGCTCTCCTTCCGGGCACTGAGGCCTCTCTCTGCACACCCTCGGGGCCTCTGCAGCGTAGTGGAGGGAAGGGGCCTTTTGTGGCCATTGCCGTACCTTGGGGCCGAGCACGGTGAATGGGCCTGAGAGACCACGGTACGTTCTAGAAGAATTGTGCTGGGGGCCAGCACACAAAGAGCTGTCTTCCCAGAAATTATTCAGTCTTTCTCGGTGACAGGATTGCAAAGACTCACCAGGTACATTCTGTCTCAGGTTTGCTTCAGGATGTGTCTTTGTTCTAGAAATCGGCCAATTTGTAGACAGTAGAGCCACCGTCTACACCCGGAGTCAAGTCAGTCAGAGGGGCAGACACACTCTAAAAAACAAAGGCTGACTGTTCTTTGTCCTGGTAGTAGATTTACTTTTCTCATTTTTCTGGAGCTCACAGCACGGTTGGTCGCTCTTCTGTGCACAGACCGGGGCCTGGGGACCGTTGACGGCAGCCCAGGGAGCGTGTGGGTCTAACCGGGTGGGCGTGAGGGGCTCACCTCAGCTCTTGTCACCGGAAGCTGTCATCAGATTTTCCAAACTGTTCATGTAATGAGAAAGATAAAGGATAAGCACATTTGCTCACATTTGGGAAATGATTCCAAGTCACCGTTTCAGCAGGTCTGGCATTTTTGACTGACATCTCATGGTACGTAGGAGAAACCAGCACGGCTGACGTATCGTTTACACACATGAAAACAGCAGTTTTTGGTGCACAGCTCCGAGTTTTGACAGCGGCATGCAGGTGTGTGAGCCACGCCGCAGGTGAGCTGTACCCTCACCGCCCAAGTGCTTGCTGGCTCTGCGCTCGGGGCCCTGGCGACCGGCAGCCACCCCTGACCCCGTGCCTGCGCCGTGTCTGCTCTTCAGAGAAGCCCTGCGCTTGCACACAGGCGAGGCCTGGCTGCGTGAGGCGGCATCATGTGCTCTCGTTTCCGAGTGGGCTTCTGACTCACCAGGCCGCCTTCTTCTTTTTAATGTATGTTTATTTTTGGGAGAATGCAAGCAGAGGACGGGCAGGGAGAGGGGACAGAGGATTTATGAAGCCAGCTCTGTGCCAGCAGGCTTGTCAGCACAGAGCCAGATGTGGAGCTTGAACTCACAAACTGTGAGATCATGACCTGAGCTGAAGTTGGCTGCTCAATAAAGTGAGCCACCCACACGCCCCCTTGTCTTTTTTTTTTTAATTTATTTTCAGAGATAGGGCAGGGGAAGGGCAGAGAGAGAGAGAGTGAGAAACCCAGGCAGTCTCCATGCCCAGCACAGAGCCCGATGCAGGGCTCGAACCCACGAACCTGTGCTGAGATGGAGAGTCAGACACCTAGCGGCTCTGGCTCCCGTTCTTCTGCCATCTCATCCTGCTGGTCTTCACTGGGGGCTCACAGGCAGGAGGGAGAACACAGGACCGGCTGGCGGGGATCGTTGGTGGCGGGGATCGTGGGGACCCAGCTGCCCCCTCCCCCACGCTGCTGCCCCGCATCCGCCCTGGGGGCTCCATCTGTTTCAGTGTCACTGTCATGCTTTCCCTCCTTGTTTCTGTGGGACACACAGTACACACGAGCAGTTGCCTTTTGCTTTCCTTCTTTGCAACCTCGTTGCCCATTTTTGATACAGAAAGAGGCGTGCTGTGTCCTGGTACCCAGTGCAGGCGCAGTCGCAGTTCTGGGTGATTTTTCCCAAGAACCCAGGAATTCGCTGAATGAGTGGCCCCGGAGTGCCGTGATAGGTCGTGATGTGCAGTGGCCGAGTGGTGGTGGTGGCGAGGGCTCGTGGCCCAGGCAGCCCTGGTGGCTGCCCGACGGTGCCGCGAATGGAGGCTCCTTTAGAGCGTCCCCTACTTTGAGGTCCCACAGGAGCGTTAGGAATATTATCACAAAGGAGGCCGCAGTCCCCTCCTCACAGCCAGGGTCTCCCCTGTACCGGGAACCCTCCCCAGACTTCTTTGGGGGGTGAAGAGGGAGGGGGGCCAGCCCAGCGGCCACCTGCCCTGAGAAGCAGCCGCTGAAATTCCAGCGCAGATTAAACAGAACTGAACACTTGAGTTCACAGGGGCGGCAGCCACACGTGGCCGGCACCCCAGACACGCTGTGTTTTCAGAGCGCTGGTGTTGTCCCAGGAAGTTGTGTTGCAGGTGCGGCCGCGCGGGGGGGCCACGCTGGGCGCCTGTTTCAGGCCCCGCCGTCTCCCGTGGGAGCCAGAGCTGGAGGGGCTCCGTCCCACCTGTAGGGTGTGTTTTCTTCTGGGTCTTGTGAGGGATACGTCTGGTCTCACTGGTCTGGCTTCTTGGAGAAAGTCCCGTTTCTGTGATCGGTGATGGGCCTGCATGGGGTGCTCCGACTCCCCCTCTCTGTGCTCTGTCTCCTCCCCTGTGAAACGGGGACACCCACGGGGACCACAGGAGTCCACACACGCAAAGCCCTGGGATTGGCCGCCAAGCCTGGAACGTTGAAAGCACCGAGGGGGGGGGGCTGTTGTCGCCCCCACAGCAGGGGTGGGGGTGTGCAGCCGTCCCCGTCCCCTGTGGCCCTGGCCCAGGGACACGAGCTGCTGTGTGTCACCCTGTCCCCTGCTGTTTGAAGCTGCAGGGAGCCCAGGAGGCAGCGCCGCAGGGGAGTCGGAGCCCAGCCAGTGGGTGTGCAAGGTGTGTTCTGCCACCTTCCTGGAGCTGCAGCTCCTGAACGGTAAGCGCTGGCGGGCCCCTGGGGGGCGGGGGCGGGCACGACCGCTGTGCTGTCCCTTCCACGCCGTCCCTGTGGATAGGTGGTGACGCGCGGCCAGCAGGATGTGAGCAGCTAACCCCTGCGCCTCTGTGTGGACCCCAGCCGCGTCCCCAGAGCCGAACGCGTGGGAGCCCCCCCCCAGCCCTCCTCCCGGGACCTCCTGCGCGCCCGCTGTTACCCTTGGCCTTGCTGTTTCCGTCATGCGCCTGGGGGCGGTTAGCCTCTGTTCTGTCCAGTCTGCCCGCCAGTTGGCCGCCAGGTGGGCTCGTGGTGGCCTCACTGCGTGGCCCAGGTGCCCCGCCTTCCTACGACACGCAGCACGTGACGCTGTGTTTGCTTTTTGCTTTTTCCCTCCCACGACCCCGCTCCTTGAGGGCACCCGCTGGCCCAGATGGCCCTAAACACGGGACAGCCCGAGAAGTAATGCCCGCTTCCCGCTGGAGGCCTGGGCCCAGCCAGTGGAGATTTGCGATGGGGAGAACCGGCCTCGGCCCAGCCGTGGCCCAGGCGCCCTCGGTCGCTGGAATGTCGGGCCCCTCGTGTCCGGTGGCCGCCCCGCCCCTCCTCGCTGCCCCCCGGCCTGAGCCACGCGTACCTCCGCATGCAGACCTTGTCAGTGCTCGAACCCCGTGCCCTCCCTGCCTGTTCCCTGTGCTTTTGGAGTTCTCTCTTCTGCGAGTGCTTGGGGGGCTTTCCTGAGTTGAGAGAGGGGCACAAGGGGTTTTGTGCTGTGTTTTAAAGACCGTTTTTGACAATAGACTATTTAAAATAAATAAATAGATAGATAAATAAATAAAAAAATAAAAATAAAGACAGTTTTGTGTCCCGTGAGCTGAACTACTTCTCTTTAGAGGCCACGTTTCTCAGTAATTGTATTATGAATTCATCGTAACCGTTAAAGAATACAAGTGAGTGTAAAGATGAACGTTGCCTGTAACGTCAGCATCTAGGGAGAGTCACGGGACACGCTCCCACGGCGCGTCCTTGCACATGCGTGTGTAACACGCGCCTGTAGTTTACATACAGCGGTGTGTGTGGGTGCATGGCGAACTTGACGTTTTTATCACCTAATTCACTTTTAAAATAGTAGTCGCATTTGGTGCAGTGAAAACGCTTTTATTTGCAAAAGCGGTGGGAAGAGTTGATTCGCCTGTAAGAGGACACACGATGAGCAGGTTGAGGCAGAGCCAGACAGGCGCCCGGGCCGGGGAGGAGGGGGCCCCGTGCGCCGCCTCAGCGTCCCCGTGCGCCGGCTTCCGCCTCTGCAGAGCACCTGTTGGGTCACCTGGAACAGGCCAAAAGCCTCCCCGCCGCCAGCCAGCACGAAGCCGCCGCGCCCGAGAAGGAAGCAGACGTGCCCCGGGGGGAGCCTCCTGCAGTGCCCAGGAGCACCAGTGTCCCCAAAGAGCAGAAGAAAAAGCCTCGAAGGGGGAGAAAACCCAGAGTGTCAAAACCTGAGCAGCCACTGGACATTATAGAAGGCAAGGAGCCGGCAGGTGAGTGTGGTCCCGGGAGGGAGAGCGGCAGGAGGGGGTGGCCCGGGGAGGGGGCGCGGCAGGAGGGGGCGGCCCGGGGAGGGGGCGCGGCAGGTGGGGGGGTGGCCCCGGGAGGGAGAGCGGCAGTTCTCTGAGAGCACGATTCCTCTGTGACGCGCTTGGCAGCACACAGGGTGCAGGCTGTGAGCGCTGACGGGTCACCGGCGCCTCGTCAGGACAGAGAGCACTGCCGTCTCCCCGGAGCTTCTCCTCGTGCGCATGACTCAGGCTTGCCTGTCCTGGGCTCTCAAGGGAGTCCCTCCTTCTGTGCCCAGGGTCCTGCACGCTGGGTTTCTGGCACTGGGTCCCCTGCGCGTGGGCCGGTGGCCTGCTCCCAGGCCGTGGCTGGGCCCGTTCTCCGTGACGGGATCCACAGTAGAGTCTGGAGGGACCCTGACCCGCTCTCTTGGGTGTGCAGGGCCCGTGGCCCCTCGGTCCTCACGACCTCTGCCAGCGCTGCGTGGTGCCGGAAGACCCCTGGTGTGTGGGTGTGTGACGCTCAGGCCCGGGGCCCCTCACTGCCTGCGCCCCGACCGCTGAGAGCTCTCCTGTGCTGTCTGCTAGAGCCCTGGTTTTCTTTTCTGAGAATGAGAAGAAACACTTCTTCCCCAGAATGAAAAAGAATTCCGAGGAAGGAGCAGCCTTCACGTGTTATGGGGCCCCCTGTCCAGCCGCCAGCTCTCAGCGGCGCGTGTTCTGGTCGGAACTGAGGGATGGCCGGGGGCTGAAGCTCCCCCTGGACGGCGTCTTTCTCTCTCTCTCTACGCGGGCAGAAAAGAGAAGAGGGCAGCTGGGAGCTCTCAGTGCTTATTTCCCTACGTACTAGTTGCGTTGGGAACACATGTAGCAGGTGAAATGGTAGCAACCACTGGCTACATTTTTGCGTGTGTTACTCTTCCCGTAGTTCGTTGTCCCGAGGTTCAGGCCACGACACCTGTTACTATAATTACTTGGCATTTGACTCTCGCACAACGTGATTATCTGTGTTTGAACACACTTGGGCTGGCTTGTCTATTTTTAAAAGTTAGTATTTCCAAAGCTCTGTTGGGACGAAGTTAACAAGTTAAAAGATCCCACTACGTATCAAAATGTTGTGTCCTGGGTTGGCGTGAAAAGGGACTGAAATCGTGTTTTAACCACTGTGCTTTTAGAGAAGATCACAAATTATAACTTCAGTTTTGAGCCAAGAATAACACGTTGCTTTTTCTGAACAGACAGGTAAACGTGTGGATTCCGAAATATGGCTAGCTTTTCTCTCTCTTCCCTGTGTGTCCTGCGTGTCTGCGACTTCGACCTGGCTGTGGTCTGCCTGGGGTGCCGTCATGGTTCCCTAGTGTCCTGTCCCCTGCCCCCACGGTGACACGACTCCCACGTCCCCTTCACACAGAGCAAGTGGCAGAGATCATCACTGAGGTCCCGCCCGATGAGCCAGTGACAGCGGCGCCGGACGAGCGGATCATGGAGCTGGTTTTGGGGAAGCTGGCCACCACCACCAGCGACGCCAGTTCAGTGCCCAAGTGAGTCCTGCTGCGGCTCCAGGGATGGCTGTATAGACGGCAGGTGCCCCGGGTGGGGGGGCTGTGGTACCTGGGACGGCTGTGTAGATGGCAGGTACCGCGGGCGGGGAGGCTGTGGCGCCCGGGGCAGCTGTGTAGACGGGACAGCCATGTAGACAGCAGGTCCCCCGGGCGGGGAGGCGCCCCTCCTCATGGAAAGAAACGGGTGTGCTTGGGGAGTGCTAGGATCCTTCCAGAAGTCGGGAGCTTAATGGCACGTTCGCTATGAGAACGGTTAACAGCAGCTTTGCGTGCGGAGGGGGCTGTACGTCACGTACAGTGTACCCTCTTAGCCACCTCCAGGCACACAGTTCTGTGTTGCTCAGTGCATCCGCATTCTCTGCAGCCTCCAGCACCATCCGTCTCAGGAACGTTCCATCCTCCCAGACTGAAGCTCTGTCCTCCTGGAACACTAACTGCCCACGTCTCTCCCCCCTGCACCTCCCCCCCATCCCTGTCTCCATGAAGACGGAGGCACCTTGTGTGAGGCTCCTGGTCTGGGCACAGCCGTGCGCTGCTGGCCCTGCTGTGACGGGCCCGTGGCTCGTCTGTGTCGGAGCGGGGGTCACATTGTCCCCCCGTCTCCAGGCTGGCCGTCACTCCTCCACCCACGGACACCAGCCTGCTTCCACCTTTTGGCTGTTGTGAACAGCATTGCTATTATAGGACAATTTTGTGTTTGAATTTCTGCAAATTTAACACCGTGCTGTGTTTTTTGGGTTTTTGGGGGGATTTTTATTTGTTTGCTTTGTTTTTGTAAACAATGAAAATATTTTGTTTTTTAGTTATCATTCCTGGGTAATTGCTCTGACATTGAATAAGCTGGTGCTAATTTCTTTTCGGGCTTTTTTGGAGTGCCTCGTAACGTTTTCACGATGTGCCTGGCCCCGTTTGGTCCTGGAGCCTATGCAGACCGGGGCTGGTGTGCTGTCGGAAACCAGGTCACCTGTTTGTTAACCTACTCTGTCTGGCTGCCCAGAGGACTTCTGTGGCTTACTCTCAGAAAGATGTTTAAGAGAGAGAAGAAATGTTTTAAAATCAGGGTCAGAGAAAGTACAAAACAGAGCAGAGGACAGACCAAGTGAGAGAAACAGGGCTCTTCCCAGAGGATAAATTGAGAGCTTCCTGGTGGCCAGGGTGAAAAGGCAGTCAGGTGTATGGCCGTACAGAAAATACTGACAGATGCCATTGGACGTTCAGGGTTTGTGTCCCGTCCAGAGCCTCCTGAAGGTGGTGCCTGAGCGCCCTCCCTCCTTCCTCGCCGCGAGCTGGGGAGGTTCGGAGAAGCCGTTTCCAAGACAGTGGTGACCCTGAACGTCTTCTCCAACAACGCACGTGGCCCATCTTACCAGGTGTCTGTGACCCGGCAGGTTCCCACACCATCAGAGCCCCGGCCTCACCCTCAAGCGGAGTCTGATCCTGTCGAGCCGGCACGGCATCCGCAGGAAGCTGGTCCGACAGCTGGGGCAGCTGGGGGAGCACAGACGGGTGTACCAGTGCAGCATCTGCAGCAAGATCTTCCAGAACAGCAGCAACCTGAGCAGGCACGTGCGCTCGCACGGTGAGTCCCGCGGCGCCCGCCCCGGGGCAGAGGTGGCTGCGGGCCCGGGGCGGGGGCGGTGGGCGCAGCCCCGGGACACGCCTGGAGTGTGAACCAGCTTTGTACGGGCCCTTAGGTGACAAGCTGTTTAAATGTGAGGAGTGCGCCAAGCTGTTCAGCCGCAAGGAGAGTCTGAAGCAGCACGTGTCCTACAAGCACAGCAGGAACGAGGTGCGCGGGACCCGGGAGCCGGGGCCGGTCGTGGAGGAGGAGCGGGCGGCCGGGCTGCTGGGAAGGAAGACAGAGTCACTGGGGAGCGGGAGGAGGTTGGGGGGGCGGGCGGCGGGGGGGGGTCCCCGAATGGGCGTTCTCCCTGGGGCAGTTGGATGGTGAGCGTGAAAACTTGCTCATGTTCCTAAATCGCGTAGGAGAGTAGTGGACAGTGGCCTAGGCCAGATGGTGACGTAAACCAGGGCGGGGCCGGGGCCCGGGTGCCGATGGGGACCAGGATGCCAGTGTAGACTAGGGTGGTGGCAGAGGCCTGGGCCGTGATGGGGACGGTGACACAGACCTTACGCACTTGGAAGTTGCGAGAGGCAGGTCCGGGGGCGAGTTCGTGGGTGGAGCTGCCTCCTGCCCCTCCCCCCGACGGCGCTCCCCTGTCGCCAGGTGGACAGTGAGTACAGGTACCGCTGCGGCACCTGTGAGAAGACGTTCCGCATCGAGAGCGCGCTGGAGTTCCACAACTGCAGGACAGGTGAGCGCCCCCGCGGCAGAGCTCCCGGCCGGGCGGGCAGCGGGCGCGCTTAGCCCCAGTCGGCGTGCCTTTCACCCCCATCTCCATTCGAGTCCCTCGGGTTCTGAAGGAGACGCAGGTGGAAGGGGCCTCTGGACTCCGACAGAAGCTGTGCCCCCCAGGCTGTCCCAAGAAGGTGGGCGGAGGTGCAGGGGGCTCTGGGACACGGGAGACACACCTGGAGGGGGCGGCGGTGTCCAGACGGGGTCTCTGCCTCGCTGGCTCGAAGGCTCCCCCTCCCCCGTCCGCCCTCGCCACCCCCTAAGCCTGGCGGCGTCCAGGACAGGCCGCGGTGCCGCTGGGCGTGGACGGTGTGGCTCCGCGCCCATTCTCTCCGCCAGTCCTAAGAGTGCAGGATGCGCTTGCTCACTTGCGTGTGGTCGGATGCCGGCGCACTTGCACCAGCCTGTGGCCAAGGGGTCCGTGCTCCCCCCAGGAGGGTGTAGACGGAGCACTGGGTGGGCGAGAGCAGGGAGGCCAGCATGGCCCCGAAGGCGGGCCCAGCGTCAGGCGGCTTGGAGACCCGAGCTTGGCTTTTGGTTCCAAACCCCCTTCCTGTCGGCCCCTCTGGGGACCACTTGCACCTCCGTGCTGGCTCTTCCCTCCCCCCCACCCCGCCGTCTCTCAGAGACCCTTTAACCAGCATTAGCTAAACCTCCCCCGCCTGTCCCGCGGGGGCCACCTCCCGCGCCCGGGCACCTGCCAGGCCCTTTGTCTGCTCGGGTCCGAGGGCTCTGGTCTGAAGCCAGGGCTCGTTTCCCCACCGCGCCCTGCTCCCGTGCCAGGGCTGGGCCGGCGGCGGGCGAGTCTCCTCTCTCCCGAGCTCCGCCTGCTCTGCACCGGCCACAGCATGAAGTGGTGGTCCCGGAAGCTTCCGGGCGAGCTGGCAGTGTGCTGCACATGCGCGTTCTGAGCTGTGCACCCCAGGAGTGCCCTCAGATCTGGGGCACAGCCCCCCGCTGTTTCCGTGGATGCAGTGTCTGTCAGGAGCCTTAGCTGTGTTCGTGGCGGGAGTCAGGATGGCGCCCCACGTGGTCACTTGCGGCTCCGCATGAGTGCAGAGCGTCGTCCTGGGCCCTGCAGGGGACAAGTGGCCCCTTTTGATCTCCGTGCCTCTGGACACAAAAGAAAGTAATAAGTTAGAGCAGCTGTTGGTGTATCAGCTACAGGGCCTGTTACACTTGGCTTTGCTTTCATTACATAGAAAGAACCGCAGCAGTGAGTTCAGGTAGGTCTTCTCTCCAGTCTCCAAGGCTAGAGGTTTCAGATGGACAAGAAAGAATAATGGGGCGCCTGGGGGGCTCAGTCTGTTAAGCGTCTGACTTCAGCTCAGGTCATGATCTCCCAACTTCGTGGGTTTGAGCCCCACGTAGGGCTCTGTGCTGACAGCTCAGAGCCTGGAGCTGCTTCCGATTCTGTGTCTCCCTCTCTCTCTGACCCTCCCCTGCTCACGCTGTCTCTCAAAAATAAATGAGCATTAAAAGAAAAGATGGGGCGCCTGGGTGGCTTAGTCGGTTAAGCGTCCGACTTTCGCTTGGGTCATGATCTCGC